GGACGCTGCACCGAGTGTGCTTCATCGTGCCGCTGGTGATGGGGAAGGGTCAGAAGCATTGTGAGGCTGGGACTGTCAGACAGCAAGTTGCCTGAGCCTCAGCCTCACTGAGATGGAAGAACGTCGGGTGGTGGATGGTGTGAGGGAGATTCCTTAAGCTGGCAGGCTGCCCAGGAGGAACCAGTGGGAGGTGGGGTCAGAGGCCTGGGGAGCAGGAAAGGGCCCATCGCTAAGTGTTTCTCCTCCCTGACCCATTTCCTGGTTCCTACAGGCCAATACCCCAGCCCCCATGACGGCCAGGGAGGGTCTAGGAGGCAGCGCCTGGCAGCTCTCTCAGTCATCACAGATAGAGTCACACTGCCCCACCCATTTGTCTGTCCCAGCCCCCACAGGGGCCTCTGTGGTCAGGTCTTTGTGTCTGCACAGTGGTCCTCTTTGTCCTGAGCAGCCTGTCCCCATCCCACCTCCCTCCTGCCCTTCTCTCTCTCCTGCCTGGGTCACAAAAAGCACCAGCTTTGCAGGGAGCCAGGCCAGGGTTCTGATCTTGGCTTCCCCCTCTGAGTCTCTGCGTGACCTTGAGCAAGTTACTTTGCTTCATGGAGTTTTAGTTTTTGGTTCAGTGAAAACGAGGTGTTGTAAGCACTCAAACTCCTGGCAAGGATTGATCTGCCACCCAGTGCTGAGACCCAGATAACAAATGATGAACATGGAGACCGTTACCCCATCCTCATGCTGTTCACTGGACCTCCTACCGCCAGCTCCCACCTCATCCTCACCCTTTTGGCCAGTGGCTACCATTCTCTCATTTGACAGACAAGGAAATCAGCGCCTGAGGACAGGGCTGACTTCATGGGCATGTGACCTGGACAGTAAGGGCCATGCTTTGAAGCATTAAATATTCTGCTATCACCATCTTGAAATTCTTAATTTATTATTATTTCTTGTTGTTCTTTTGTTGGAAATTCTTAATTTTTGAATGAGGGGCCCACATTTTCATTTTCCCCTGGGTCCTGCAGATCAAGTAGTTGGTCCTGCTTGAGAAGGGATGGAACAGAGGCGTGCCCAGGCCTGGACCAGGCTTACTGCACCCCAGGCAGCCTCACTTGGGTGCCCGCATCCTGGGGCAGAGCTTCCAGGCTGCGCTTGGCATCAGAGCCCTGGACCCTGCCCAGGAAACCTGAGAAGCACAGTTCCCGGCTGGCGAGGGAAGGGAAGATGGTGCAGGCCAATGCAGCAGTTCAGGGAGCAAGTAAGACAAGACTGCGAAACCTAGCCCAACCCTGTGTAACTGGAGCCGTAGTGCGGGTCCCAATGCCATGGCCCAGCCATAACTCAGGGAACTCAGCAAGGCCTTCCTTCCCATCAGCCTGCAGTTCCAGGGCCAGGAGACCCACTGCAGACTCACTGTGTGGCTTTGGGCATTCACTACCCCTTTCTGAACCTCAGTTTCGCTAAATGTCACACGGTAATAAAATAACGCCTAGCTCACAGGGTTCTGGTGAACATTAAATAAGATACCTTAAACTTAATGACTAGCACAAAGAAAGTGACCACTAAATAGAGTTCTTACTCATTCACTTACAACAAATATATTGTGACAAGTATTCAGGGATAGGGATTGGGTGCGATGGCTCCTGCCTGTACTCCCAGCACTTTTGGAGGCCAAGATGGGCGGATCATTTGAGGCCAGGAGTTCAAGACCAGCCTGGCCAACATGGTGAAACCCCGTCTCTAATAAAAATACAAAAATTAACCAGGCATGGTGGTGCACGCTTGTAATCTTAGCTACTTGGGAGGCTGAGGTAGGAGAATTGCTTGAACCTGGGAGGCGGAGGTTGCAGTGAGCCAAGATCGCACCACTGCACTCCAGCCTGGGCAAGAGAGCAAGACTGTCTCAAAAAAAAAAAAAAAAAAAAAGTATTCAGGGACAGTGATAGGTGCTGGCCATTTAATTGTGAACAGAATGGACCCTGGCTCTGCTCTCAGAGAGATCCCTGTTAGAGCGGGAGACAGGCAATGATAGTGATAACAGCATGGTAAGTGGTGGGGCACCTGGCCTGGGTCTTGGAGGAGCCAGGATCAGAGGTGCTGCGGGCAGAGGGAGCAACAGGAGGCTGGTCAGAGGTGAGAGGTGAGGCAGAGAGGCAGGGAGGCTGGCATGGCAGGCTGGAGAGCTAGGCTTTATCCAGAGGGTGGTGGAGCCACCAGAGAGTGTGAGGCAGGGTATGGCAGCCAGGGGCAACAGAGACACCACTGCAGCCTGGGAAGGGGGGATTGGAGCCTGGGCCAGGTCAGGGCCATACCCAGCATGCATTCTCAGAGCAGGTTTTCTCAGGGGGGATGAGAGAAGTGGAGACAAGGAAGATGAAAAGGCTTGAGTGAGCCAAATACCTCCTCAGGGCTGGAGAGACAGGAAGCCTCTTAATACATGGTAGAAGCTGAGGCTGGAACTTTGCCCTTCCCCTCCTGACCTGCTGCTGTTAATGGAACCCTCCCCGTACCCCCATGGCTCCATTACCCACCTCCAGGGGACCATTACTGTGCCTGGGCCCTCACTGTTAGCCTGCCTTGGCTGCTTGGTTCCAGGGAGACTCCCTCGATACTATTCCAGCCTTTCAGATGGGCCTGTTGTGTGAGGCTTGCTGTGTCTCCATTTCCAGTTTGATCAAAGGTTTTATATTCTTTCAGCCAGAAAATCTTCTATGAGTTTGCAACAAATTCTTACCGGAATAGAAATAAATAAAAATACAAAAGCAAAGGTGCTCAAGTTGAAGTGGGATGGGGGTTCCCCAGGCAGCCCCAGGTAAGGCGGACTCTGTTGGGGGATTTGAAGCCTGCTGGACTTGATGACTTCTAAAACCCAGTGACAGAAGTGTCTGGGGAGGATGTCAGGAGATTGAGACGTCTAGCCCCTCATTACATGGGATACTAACCCCTTGAACCCAGACAACTTGGGATGATGAATAAAGCTATGAAAAAAGAATGTAAGGGTAGGGAGCAGTGGCTCATGCCTAAAATCCCAGCACTCTGGGAGGCCAAGGCAGGAGGACTGCTTGGGCCCAGGAGTTCAAGACCAGCCTGGTCAACACAGGGAGACCCCATCTCCACAAAAAATTTAAAAATTAGCCAGGTATGGTGGCATGTACCTGTAGTCCCAGCTACTTGGGAGGCTGAGGTGGGAGGATCACTTGGGTCTGGGAGGTAGAGAGTGTAGTGTGCTGTGATCATGCCACTGCACTCTGGCCTGGGTGACAGAGTGAAACCCTTTCTCAAAAAACTTAAGACAGGCCAGCAAGTGAGAGATTAGTATTACTCCATTTTGCAAAAGAGGAAACTCGGGCTCATAGAGGAGTCATGGGACAGGTGAGGCAAGATTGGAATCTAAACCCAAGGCTATGGGATTCAAGGACTAGGCTCTTTCCTCTGCTCCTCAGGCCTCAGTAAGTTACCTGTGTGGTAGCTGAAGCCTCGTATGTCTCAGGGATGCAGTTTCCTCAGCTGTAAAGTAAGGGAGTTGGGCTAGAGGAGGGGCAGAGCCCTGGGTAGGCCACCAGCCAGGTTTGCCTGCTGGAGGCTGAGGTAGAGCCTGGGTCCTCATCTTGACATTAAAGAAACTGGTTTCTCCTGGGCTAAATGGCAGTGACAGTGTAAGGTTTGAAGCTTTGGAAGGAAGAAGAGAAACAGGGGGTTGGCTGGAGTTTCAGTGCCTAAAGGGGCTTCCCCACACTGGAACCTGAAGACCTGGGCCTTGTAACTTGGGCTATGAGAATACTTAGGTCCCTTATTGTCCCCAGCTTAGACAATAGGCAGAGGAGGCTGGACAAGGCGCCTTTGTGTGTCCCAAGCAAAGGTCCCAGTGGGACTGCAGAGGTGGCTCAGCCACACTAGGCTGTGTGTCCACTCTGCTCCTGCTCCTGGCTGGGCTGCAGCCTGCGCCCTTCCTGGGCCCCTCCTGGGCTGGCAACCAGGCCCAGTCAGCTGATGTGGAGCCCAAAAGGGCCCAAGGCCCCAGGGCCCTGGGCAAGCTCCTTGGCTACAGGAAGAGGCCTCCTCTGCACTTGTCCAGCAACCCTAATGATTGGCTCCATTTCACAGGAAAGGAGACACTGAGAGGGACTGGAACTGGGTCAAGGTCTCCCAGAGTCAAAGCTGAAGCTGGGTGGGAACCTACCCTCCTGATTCCTAGACCAGAAATGATAGAGGGTGGCCTTCATTCATTCATCCATCCACAACTTCAAGGATTGAGCACCTCCCAGGACCTCTGAGACAGCAATAGGAAGAAGGCAGACCTAGTCGCTGCCCTCGGGAGCTCGCTGCCCTCGGGAGCTCACAGCCTCGGGAGCTCACAGCCTCCGGAGCTCACAGTCTTGGAAAAGGTCAGACATGCAGCCCAAGACCAGGAAGGCCATCAGAGTGGGATTGAGGGCAGAGAAGAGAGTTAAAGCAGCTCAAGACGAGGGGCCAAAGACAGTTGGGAGTTCAGGGAGCTGCTGGTAAGATTAAGGAAAAGCAGGGAGCACGGGAGAGGCGAGATTCTGAGTGCCCTGCTTTCCTTCCCAGGATAATGGGGAGAGGCACCACCTGCCTCCACTTTCAAGCAAGGGAGGTGTGTCCTCAGCCTGGGGTTCGGAGCAGATCTCTAGGAGCAGGTCCTTTTCTGGACAGCCGGGCTGGGGCAGGGGCGGGACAGGGGTGGGGTGGCGTGGCGGCTGGGCGCAAAGGTCCCACAGTGGGCCACGCAAGCGCCTGGCGGACATGGCAAAACTTTGGCGTCCCTGAAAACCTCTCCTTACTCTCTCCCTTCTGGCGTGAGGGAGCCGGGCGGCCTCCTTCTGGCCTGGCAGTGGGACCGTCGCCGCCCGCCCCTCGCAGTGCAGCACCGGTACGGACGCGCTGACCAATGCGGCCGTGTCGCTGGGTGGCGTCCCCGAGCGAGTGGCGAGGTGTCTACCCGGGCGGGTTGGGGGCGGTGCCAGGGTCGGTCAAAAGTCCGCCCCGCCCCCTGCCTGGCCCGGCTGGGGAACTGGGCCGGGAGGGGGCAGCGGGGCTCCCAGGCACGTGGGTCTCTGCGGCGGCGGCTGGACGCGGGCACTGGCACCCGGGAGCGGCGGCGACGGCACCCCGGGCAGAGGAGCGCAGCGCGGTGAGGAGAGGTGGGGCGCCTGGAGGGAACAGGGCGCAGGGAGAGGTCGGCGGGAGAGGCCCTGGGACAAGCGGGCCAGACTGGCGCAGGTGCCGACTGGGCGCGGGGCAGAGGAGAGCGCTGTGGAGCCGCTGTCGCCCCGGCCACCGTCGCGAGCCGGAGTGCAGCGCATAGCTGGACGGCTTGAGCACGCCTGTGGGTCGGTAGTTGAACTTTGTCTCCACGGGAGCGTCGGTCTCGATGATTTCGGACCGGCGCCCTGTAGTGAGGAGAATGTGCACGCCCGCGTATTGGGGAAGTCTGCGTGCTAGCGGGTGTGTGAGCCCCTGGGGCGACCGGCCTAGCCTGCGGAACTTGTCTGTGTGTGCTCAGATGTGAGCGCCCCCGTGGCGTGGGGTGGTGGGCGGTGCCCAGAGACACGAACCCCTGGAGACCCCCTGTCCCTGTCCTGCCCCCAGGGTCACTCTGGGTGGCCGCCTGCCATGGTAAGGTTGAGGGGCAGTTGCAGGGAGTGGGCAGGGGAGGAGGGAGTGACGAGGAAGGACAGTTAAGCCTCTGTCTCGGGACTTTTAATCTGGCAAATGGTGCGGTAGAAAGGGTCAGTCAGGAGAAAGGCAATGCCCCACCTCCCAACGCGAGGGCTGCCGGTGGCCCTCTTGGGGTCCTCCAGGAGCGCAGCCCAAGGGCCAGGGACTGCTGGGAACCCGGACTGCCTGCTCGGGACCTGTGGGGTCCACTGCGCTGTTCCTCTCAGCATGGCATCCCCAGGTTCCTGGGCCCACAGCCTGATCTACCTGGTTTGTTTTGGATCTAAGCTGAAGTAATGATGAGCTTTTGAGGATCTGGGTGGAGCCCCAGGCAAGTTTATTACCTGTGGGGTGAAGTGGGAGGAAGAAGATTCTCTGAGCAGGCAGGTCCGCAGGAGAGCTCTGGAGACTCAGAGATCTATGTTCCAATCCTGTCTTGGCCACTATGTGGCCTGGACAACACATCCTTTCTCTGAACCTCAGTGGCCTCCTCTGTAAGAAGGGACTAATGATATGGAATTTGAGGGCTGTTGAGGAGCTGAGTTGGTCTTGCTCAGCACCACTGTCCCCCCTGGGCAGGCTCACAGCTTGGGGATGGGAAGCTAGTCCCTGGAGGGAGCCTCCCAAAACCAGAATCCCAACTGTGTCCCTCCCTAGGGCACAAGACTTCTACAGGACCAAGCCTGAACCCTGTAGCTTGGGATTTAAGGCCTCTGATAACTGGGGCCTACCAATCTTTCCAGCCACCTCTCCCACCTGAGTCTTCACCTTGCAGTAGCTGCCTGTTGTCTCTCATTTCTTGCCCCTGGCCTACTGCATATTCTATACTCCCTGCCTGATAAGCCCTCCTACTCCTTCCTCAACTGGAGAACTACCCAGACTTGGGACCCAGCTCAGATGTCCCCTCCTCTGGCAAGCCTCCCTTGATCCCCCCCAGCTGCATTGGAGCCTCTTCTAGGCCCCTAGAGTCCTGGTGCTGACAGCCCTGGTCCCACCTGGACTGTCATGCTCTATGTGTGCCTCCTCCTTTCCTCTTTGCAGGTCTAGGGGCTCCTGGAGGGCAGAAACTGGATTTGACTCATTTCTGTGTTGCCAGCACCCTGCACAGGGCTGAGCTGAACTGAGGGAACAGCAGGTTTCTAACCCCAGCTTCTCCAGTAAAGGCTTGGCCGCAGAGGTGCTCCATGCCACTACAAAGAAGGGCAAACCAGAATCTGGTTATCAAAGTGGGTGGCACAGGTTGCCAGAACAGTGTGATCTGGGACACCATAGGACCCAGAGTGCCCAGGCTAAAGACCTAGATTTTATCCTGAAGGCAATAGGGAGCCATGAAAATTTATGAGCAGAGGAGATTCACAGTCAGAGTTGCATTTCAGAAAGAGCTCTCTGGCTGCAGGATGGAGAATGGATCAAGAAGTGCCAAGGGCAGGAGGTCAGGGCGTGTGTGACGTTGACACTAGAACCATCCCAGGGGTTGTTTAAACTCTTAATTGAGCCCTTGCCCCTTGGCCAAACACTTTTCCCTGAGCCTTCAGATGCTCCTGCTGGGGGATTTGGGGACCTGCAATTGATCTCGTCCCAGCTCTGCTCCCAGCTTGTTGGATGACCAGTTCCTGCCCTGCCAGGCTCTTAAAAAAGGCCAGAACAAGTAAGATCCTGCATGGGAGAGTATGTGTGTGGGGAGGCCCTGGCACAAAAGGCTTGTCACATTTTCTTTTTTTTTTTTTTTTTTTTTTTTT